CAATCTCTCCCTACCTTCCCCACCGCGGACAGCATCAGCAATCTCTCCCTACCTTCCCCACCGCTGACAGCATCAGCAATCTCTCCCTACCTTCCCCACCGCTGACAGCATCAGCAATCTCTCCCTACCTTCCCCACCGCTGACAATCTCTCCCTACCTTCCCCACCGCTGACAATCTCTCCCTACCTTCCCCACCGCGGACAGCATCAGCAATCTCTCCCTACCTTCCCCACCGCTGACAATCTCTCCCTACCTTCCCCACCGCTGACAATCTCTCCCTACCTTCCCCACCGCTGACAATCTCTCCCTACCTTCCCCACCGCTGACAATCTCTCCCTACCTTCCCCACCGCTGACAATCTCTCCCTACCTTCCCCACCGCGGACAGCATCAGCATCAGCATCAGCATCAGCAATCTCTCCCTACCTTCCCCACCGCGGACAGCATCAGCAATCTCTCCCTTCCTTCCCTAGGAGCCCACGATGGATACATTTATCCTCCAGCCTCCACTGCCTAAACTAACGTCAGTTCAAGTTCACAAATATTTATCGCTGGTGTATAGTTTCTATACATGCGGGGTTTTTGACAGCATGGCTCATGTCTGATAATGTCTTTATATGACTTCATTCCTGAAGAATTATTTTTCTCGGGATATAGAATTCTGTGCTGGCAGCTACTGGCTTTCAACGTACTGAAGACACCACCCCACTAGTTTTGAGCTGCCATTGTTCCTGCTGAGAATTCAGCTGCCAGCCTAAGGTTCTTTGGAATGTATTAGGTTGCTTTTTTTGTTTGTTTTGTTTTGTTTTTTTACCTTTCATTTGCTTTTAAAATTGTATCATTTTTCTTTGACTTTCTGAAATTTTATTGTAACGCTAGATTTTTAAGTTTCTCTCGCTTAGGATGTTTTGGTTTTCTCGAATCTCTGAGGTGATGTTTTCCTTCGATACTGAAAAGTTCTCAGTCCTAATATTCATGTAATGGAATACCATATGCTATATAGAAAAAAAGCAAGCTTCATACAAAAACATGAATAATGTATGGAATGCATACTGTTGGACTTCATTTGTATTGACGTTCTAAAACAAGTAAAAATGTGGTGCGCTAAAAGTATAAAACAAACGATGGTTAAATTCCATAAAAGGAAGCATAATGTTTCTCCCTAGAGGAGGCAAAAGGAGACCGTGGATAGGAAGGAGCACTTGGTATATAGGAGTTTCCTTTCTTTCTTTCTTTCTTTTTTCTTTCTTTCCTTTCTTTCTTTTTTATAACTATTGTATTTTATTATTACTTTTTTAATCCTCACCTAAAGATACATTTTTTTCTATTTATCTTCAGATAGAGTGGGAGGAAGAGAGAGAGAAACATCGATGTGAGGGAGACACAGCGACTGGTTGCCTCCCGCACGACCCAACCAGGGCCGGGGATGAACTGCAACCGAGGTATGTGCACTTGGCTGGAATTGAACCCACAACTCATTGGTCCACAGGTTGACACTCTAACCACTGAGCCAAACCGGCCAGGGCAGGAGTTTTCTGTGGCCCTGGCAACATGCAATTTCCTGACTCAGTTTATAGTTGCATGTATATTTAAAATAATCTCAGATGTGCGTTTATGTTCTAGACTCTTTTTTGGTATGTGTATTATTTTTCACCAATACAAAACCCTACATCTCTGCACACACAGGAAATAGCCAGGAGAAATCTGCTTCAGCGGACAGGTCAGGGATAGTCCCTCTGAACACAGAGAGAGTATTTGTATAATCTGACATATGTAAGATTATTTTTATAATTATGGCTTCTGTAAACATGTGTCATAAACTCAGCAGTACAGAGGGCTGTGTGCCGGTCCCTTGCAAAGAGGTCTCAGAGTGTGGCCTTCACGTACTGTGAATTCACTTTGGAGAATAGGAGTCCCGAGTTTCTCCTTGGCTGAGGTCACCCTGAGAAAGTGCTCTTCTGGTGAGAGCTAGGTTTGTTGACAGCATATTGAAAGTACAGGGCATTTTATTTGAGATATAAGCTGTAACAGGAGCAATGGACAAGCTCTTGGCTACGTATTCTCCCTTGAATCCCAGACCTATCTGCCTGGCCTCTTCAAAGTCCATCTTATCTTCTCCAGACTCAGAACCACTGGAAGGCACTATCGAGGGGACTGTGGACATTTTGGACAATTCTGAGATTCCCAGAGAATCCTCAGGGGTGGCGGGTCTCATGGTAGAAAAGAACATACATTGGCTCTCCAGAAACATCTCTCTTATGTTCTTTATTGGATCGGCACATGTTGTCTGGAATTTTTCTGTTTTTACATCCTTCAGGAGGGTAGAACGTCTCTGGTTTCAACAGGTCCCGGTCACCCAGAGCTGTGCTTTTCACTCACCTGAGGGAAAAGAGAGGTGATTCTGATCTGACTGTTCTTTCGAACCCTGATCTAGAAGAAACTGTTCCTTCTCTGTTGGGTCACTGGTATGTGTCCCGTGGGCACTGGGAGAACTCAGGAGCCTAAGGCTAGTGGTGGCTCAGAGGAACAGTGACTGGTTCTTCACCTTGTTGACTCGCCTTATCATACGTGGCATCCGCCTCAGCCAAGATCTCCTTCCTTAAATCCTGGTACTCACCACTAGCCCCGTTAACCTATTCAACACGGTCATTTTGTTCATCTTGATTAGCCAGACATTTCAGGATATTTGGCTATATTCCCTGTAAAGAGGAGATCTGTTTCTTTTCAAAATAATGATAACTAGAAAGCAAATCGCCATTCAAGAAACATCATTTTTATGATTTCACCTAACATTAGAGATGCAAAGCAAAAATCCTAGCCCCTAATTTAAACAGCTTCTAATCACACACATGCAGACATAACTGAAGACCCACCTGGTCAGTCCCAGCTGAGGTAAGCCCTGGCTACACTTCTGGTCTAACTGTACCTCCAGAATTCTGTGTGTGGCGGGGAGAGACATCGCGAATAAAGGGGCCATGCAGACTTAAGTGAGGTCAAGAACAGTCAGCAAAAGGGATTCATCCCTGAACATTTTTAAGTCATGGTTCTGAAATTTGTGACATAAAAATGATTATTTTGGGGTGTCCTAAGAGGATAAGAAGAAGGATTAGAGGAACTGTGAGCAAGAACAGAGTGGGGCCCCTAGGAAAATCAGGTGTTACGAGATGCTAAAGCTGAGACTATGCACGTGAGCAGAAGCGAGGAGCAAAGTAAGTCAATGGGATGGGTTCGAACATAAGCCAAGAATCCAGGTGGATGGGTTAGGCTGAGAGAGGGCATTTTCTTCTTTAGAAGTGGTACAGTGTCATGGGAGTGAAGTTAGTGAGGAGACAGTTCTGACAGGCAGAGAGAGAGAGAACTTTTCCTCTTTCTCGTGAGCCATTAGGGAAAGAATTGCATATGGAAGGAAAGAGGGAAGCTCTCAAACCGTGGGAGAGCGGAATGAAAAGAAGCAAGAGGAGATGCTAAATGTCAGGGCGATGAGACGAGAGGAAGGGAGAGATCTGCTAGTGAATATGCACACCACAAAGATCAGTGATATCAGTGTGTGCGTGTGCGTGTGTGTGTGTGTAATACACAAATACTTAATGGGGTTATTTCACAGCTTCACCAGGGTTCTAGGCGAAACTAGTTATACCTCTCCTCCTCCTTCCTCCCTGGATGGAGAAGCCAGCTTGCTTGTTGGGACACAGTAGAAACTTCCAATATGTCATAGAGAACATCTCTTTCATACATCACTATTCCTCTCTCTCATCGGCCAACATCTGGCTGAGACCACCGTTTACTTTGCTGTAGACATACACTGTGCCATATTGCAATCTGCTTTCTTCCAGCTGCTGGTTCTCCCCCATATTGCTTTGCCCTAGGCATGGGCACAGACCCTACCCACAATTCCTTGCAATAACAGCAGAGACTAAGCTGTAACTTCCATTAGAGTTTGTTGAACATATAGGAATAACTAAGAGAAGCTAACCAAAAACGTCGTATATGACACTGGATACGATTGTTCTTAGAATCCATTGGCTCAGCCACCTTCCTAACTGAATCCACAGTCACTGTCAGAGTTGGGTAAAATCCACTAAGACCTGGCCTGACGTCCAGTGGGAAGGACCGGCTTACCTCCCTCCAGAAGTAATCTCGAACTTCTACCTTCTAACAAAAGTCTAAGTCTCACCCTCGCAAGTGTGGCTCAGGGGTTAAAGCGTTGGCCCCACCACTGAAGGGTCTTGGGTTCGATTCCTGGTCAAGGGCACATGCCTGGGTTGTAGGTTAAATCCTTGGCCCTGGTTGGGGCATGTGCTGGAGGCAACCGATTGATATGCTCTCTCACATTGGTGTTTCTCTCTCTCTCTCCCTCTTCCCCTCTCTCCTTCCCTTCCACTTTCTCTAAAAATCAGTGGAAAAAATATCCTTGGGTGAGGATTAACAACACCCAAAATAGTCTAAGTCTCAACCACCGGGAACTAAAAGAATGGGAAGCAGTTTCCTCCTCAACCCTCATCTTCTGCCCCAGGGTTTGCTTCGTTCCAGGATGATTGACAGTGGGGAACTACTGTCTCAGGAGAACCCTCTGTCAGTGCCTCCGAGCCCAGCCTCCCCCGCCTCTTCCTTGTTCCCTATGGGTTAAGGCTCTGTGCTCAGCCTTCTTTTGGCTTTTCTACATTCCACTTAGCTTTAATGAACACCTTGGTGAAGGTGACTCTGAATCCTGCCGATTTACCCTGGACCTTCCCTCAGTGCGGCACAATGACAGACCGTAGAACGTGCCGTCAAACATCCTGAGTGAGGGCACAGGCTCAGGATTGACCCAGCCAGTCCCTCTCCCTGCAACTTGCCAAAAACAGAAATGACAGAGTCACCGGTTTCCCTAGGAGCAGGAGAGACGTGAAGGACTTCCACAGTGTCCCCGCCCCTCGCCTTCCAAGGGAAGCCTGGCCTGGCAGATGTATAAATAGGCACCGTGCAGCTCCCTGCCCTCACCTACTCCCCTCTCCCTGGGAAATGGACAAGTCCCTCCTGCTGGGACTCCCCATGCTGCTCTGCTGCTTTAGAGGTGAGCCCCTGGGGCTGACCGCTGGACAGATGTGCGGAGAGTCCTGGAATGGGTCAGGGTTTGCACGATAGGGGTCCTCTCGGGGGAGCTGTGCGGTGGGGTTTGTGCAAACGAGGTCTGCAGAGAGTGTGTCTTTTTCCCTCCAACAGTACTATCGGGGTCATTTTTAGGCAAAGACCATTCAGGTGAGTAGAAATGGATGTGTGGTGTGGGAGGGGACAGTGGAGGAGCGGGGAGAGGGAGGGGCAGAGCTGACACTGGGGACGGAAGGAACCAGAGACAGATCCTGAATGTCAACCCTCGGCAACCTCTTCCAGCAGGATGGGGCTGGGGTGGGAGCTGGTTTTCGGTTGGACCACATCACATGAACAGCAGTTGACAAGGCTTAGGGTGAGTTCATAAGGACAAGGACAAGGGAAAGTAGAAAAGGAAACGTTTCAGGTCCCACTGGCCAAATCCGAAGTGTAACTGCCAAATGGGTTTCAAACGCTTTCCCCCATTGTTGGTCCAGACACACCGGACAAACGCCACATAGGGTCAATTAAAAAGAAGAGAATGAGGTAAAAAAAAACAAACAAACAAAAACCCAAGCATTTATCTTTCTCCTCCTGGTCTGTGCTGCACCCGGTAAGAATGGGAAGGGAGTCTGAGAGGCCCAGACAGGTGAAGAGAAGGGAGAAGGGGCAGGGGCGCAGAGGTGCCAAGAGACAAGTGGTCAGGCGTTGGAGGGACACAGATGGCCCAGGGTGGCTCCAGGTTCAGAGCACAGGACAGACCCCAGGCATTACAAGGATTAAAAGGGCAAAACCGCAGATTTCTTTTATGTTTTATTTCTCTTTGCCAGCACAGACCGGCAGACATTTGTTGATCCAAGTCATTTTTCTGGTGAGTACGCAAAGGACCTGAGCTGACCGCCTTGGTCCTCCTTTTGTTCTTCTTTTCCTTTCTTTCCCCTCCCATTCTTTTTCCGACTAAAACTCTTGAGACCATACACCCCAGTCCCTCTCTTGGCTTAGCCTGTCTATGTTAATAAAGGCTGGTGCCCATGCTCACGGGTTTCTGGCAAAAGCCAGGCTTGGAGCAGAATGCGGTCTGAAAGGGAGGCGGGTCCATCCAGGGCCTGCACGAGCGGCTACTTCCACGTCCCTACTCTCTGGTCCCACCTGCAGAAATTGTTCAGTGCAGGATGTGCCACCTCCAGTTCCCAGGGGAGAAGTGCTCCAAAGGCAGAGGGCTGTGCATGGCGACAACGGAAGAGGCTTGCACAACCGGGAAGATTTTCAAAAGTGAGTTTGGGGGTGGGGGAAGAAAGGGGGGACCGAGGAGGCCAACGGGGACCTGTCAGCCAGAGTGAAAAGGAGAGGCCCCCCTTTCCTGCAGGCTCGGCTCGGGGGTGGCTGGTCTCTCTACCCCCGGCGTAGGCCGTGATGAAAACAGATGAGGGTGATCACCACGGGCCATGGGTCTGTAGCTGGAGAACCAATATTTCGAGAAGCCTGAAGAAAACAGAGGAGAGGCAGCTGGCGGGAGAGCAGCTGGGGGAGGTGCGGGGAGAGCAGTTCTGTGTCCTTGTCCCTGCCTGGAATTCCTCGTGGGTGGTTTTCAGCTGCGGAAACAGAGGGGCCGCGGGCAGCAAATGAGACTGGCCTGAACAGCCCTAACGGGAAAGCCTAACTACCACGATGTCTCCGTTCTCCTGCCCTGTATGCTACGTGACCCCTTGACATTTATGCCTCTTACTGCAACCAGGGCTGATGCTCGGTTGAAGCGTTCAGCACTGGCAACCCCAGAATTACTGCTGCTGGCGTCTCTGCACCCCACCTGGTTTTTCCAACCCCTCGTCCATTGCCTTTCGTTTGGGAAGCCCCCAACTTGCAACATCTTCCAATTCTTCACATCTGGATAACAGAGCCTTGAACGACAGAAGGTTGTTTTTATATGCTGGTGTAGGCTGGACAGAAGTTTCTCTGCTGATGTATCTCCCCTGTTCCGCAGAGGACGGCACTCCCTGGTTAACCTTCATGGGCTGCCTGGAGCACTGTGCCAACGTGGACGACATGAAGTGGGGTCCCTATCTGGTGAAGTTCAGGTGCTGCAGGAGCAAAGACTTGTGTAACGAACTCCTCTAGAAACTGCTGGTCCTTCTGTGGCTCCGATCTCTAGGTGACATTGTTGCCACCGCCTCCTCATAATGATTTCCTAAATAAACACGTTTCGAATCGCACACACGTGCCTCTGTCGTCTTCATGTGTAAGAAGAAGCCCCTCCTTTTGTAGCTTCTCTGTCTTGGCCTCTGGGAGGGGCGCCTTAGGAGCAAGACCCACTATCCCGCAGCTGTCCCGAGCGCTTTCTCTGAACATGAGTCTCTTCCCAGAAGGAGGAAAAGGCTAAGCACATTCTTTCCCTGCTGCTTCCTTTCCTTCTGGGGCAGTCTTCTTTCAAATTTCTTACATGGTTTTATTTTATTTTTTTTCTGCCGGTATTTTCCTTCTTCTTCCACTCCAGCTAAAGCGCACACCCCCGGCCTCGTGCGGACGGGGGTGGCAGAGCGAAGGAGATGGCTGAATCTCCTTGACTTTCGCTCATGGATGCTATTCCCAGAGGGAGGAGAAGGGCAGAAGGCAGAAAGACATTTGCCCCAGAACCATGATAAGAGAAAGATTGCCTTCCTTCTAGAAGGATCCTGCCTTTGGGGGGGGGGGGGTGCTGGAGAAGAGAAGGGGGCGTCTAGGGGGCTGGAGAGGCGGTACTTGCACGGGGCTTCCCTGCCGGCGCACAGGAAGGCACCCCTAGGGGCGAGCTGCAAGGTGCTTCCACGGGGACGAGGCCACAAGCGGCCACACGGACACTCCGGGGCCTCAAGCGTGGCGCAGAGGAAGCTGACATCTGTGGGATCTGAGGAAGCCATGCGGGTCTGGCCACCGGACATTTCTACAGCAACCTCCCTGGAGAGCGGTCCCCATGACCAAATGCCCCTCCCACCCCCACCCCCACCCCCATCTCAGGCCTCTACTATGTCTAGTCCTAGCAAGTTGGGAAAAAATGGGAGGTGTTTACAAGGACTGAGACCGATTCTTAACAAAATGGCAGGATGAGGCCTGGAAGGGGTGAGTAAATGGTATTATTAAAATATCATTAAAGAAATTGCATTTCTTTCATACCTATATTGTGTTTTCTTCTTTCTCTCCCCTCCAAACCCTTCCTTAATTTCATCAACATTTATTCAAACCATTCTGTTTCCGGCACTGCTAGGCCCTAGGATACAGTAGTTCTGATTCCCATTCCTATCCTCATGGAATTAAAAACAAGAATGGAAAGGTATGTGGAGAGATCATTAAACATGCAAGTTGAAATAAAAATCATGAAAAAGATACTAGTGGCAGTGGTTTCCTGAGGAGTGCCTTCAGGGATAACCTGCGAAGGAGCAGAGGCAGCTCAGTGAGGCGGAAGGGGACACACACACACACACACACACACACACACACACACACCCCAGGCAAAACTGCTTGGAGCGCCGTCCTCGGCCTGATCTCACAGGGGGCGCTAGAGTGCAACTGGCACCACAGACAGCCCATCTCAAGGCATGGGGCATCACGATGGGTATCCACGTGTCCTTTTCTGTGTGCTGCCCCAAAGGGAGGCATTTCTAGGTGAAGTGTCTCCTCTGGTCCAAAGACAAGTCTGGGGAGAAGGGTGTTTCTATGAGATATGAGTTACTGTGGAGCCAGCTCCCATGGTTTTATCCTGTTTGACGGGGCGCTGAGCTGTTTTTCAGGGTCAGCAGACCAGGAGCATGGGTCCTGCAGCCCAAGCCCGAGTGGAGGAGAGAACGGTAGCCTCCAGCTGCACCCGGAACCGAAGTCCATTCCCCAACCCAGCAGGAAACCAGGCCAGGACGGAACCGGAACTGGAGCTCTGGATCCCTTTCCGAAGCCAAGGGTCTGGTGTCCAGGAAGATCCACTGTTGACATCCCTTTACCATAAAGGGCCAAGTTCCAAGGTCCTCCGATGAACACTCGCCCACCAGCACTTCTGCACACCTGTCCCTCCTAAGCCCTGAAAACCCTTAGCCTGGTCCAGCCAGCCAGAGGCGCCTTCTTGATCAGTACACCTTTCCTTCCTCCAAACTCTGATGTTTTCAGTTTCCCCTCTAACAATCAGGAGACCCACAGCCTCAAGCTGCAGGGACCCCCGTGAAATACAAACTCCCCAGTGATTTCCGTGTCGCTATTTGGTTCCCAGACCCACATTTTATCTGTTGGGGACACTGTACCATATAATGGCCATTGGCTGAATGTTCTCTGGTCTGAAAACTAGCTCACATATGAAATCTGAGCAAGGGATTATGACTCTCCCTGGGCCAGCTGAAAGCAGTATTCTGTTTATTCATTCTTGTTCACTCTGATTATATATCTAAAGCACTACTCTTGTGAGATGGCCACACACTTTGGCTCTAGGAATACCATGTTTTATTACTTATCTCCACAGAGTCCTCTGGGGCAGGCTCTTATGCTACCACCCCTCATCTTGCTGTCCATCGTGATGACTATGCCCACCTTGTATCTGATGATTAAGTGAGGACACTGGGCCTTTGCTAGCTGGTGATCTCATTAGGGGGACCAATTCTGTAACAGCACCTCCTACCACCAGGCTGTCTCTGTGACCTAACAATATTCATTTAAAATATATTTGTATCTTTTCATGGTTTGATAGCTCATTTCTTTTTATCACTGAATAGTGTTGTGAGTAGAATGTACTTGTTAGCTATCTGTATGTCTCTGTAGAAATGTCTATTCAAGTCCTTGCCCTATTTTATAAATTGGTTTTTTTTCCCTTCTTTTTGCAGAGGGGTACGAGTTCTTTATATATTCAAGATATTAAACCCTCCTCAGATATATGATTTGAACATATTTACTACTATTCTGTGGGTTGTCTTTTCACTTCCTGGATGATGGTCTTCGGAACACAACAGTTTTTCATTTTGATCATGTTCAACTTATCTGGTTTTTTTTCCTTTGTTCCTCGTGGTTTGGACATCATACATAAGATTTTTTTTCTAAATCCAAAGCCATGAAGATTTACCCCTGTTTTCTGATAAGAGTTTTGTAGCCTTTGCTCTTATATTTAGGCCTTGACTTGTTTTTTGTATGTGGTATGAAATGATTATTATGGGTTAAATATTTATGCTCCACCCAAACCCACACGTTGACGTTTCAACCCCCAATGTAATGGTATTTAGGAGTTGGGGGCCTGTGAAAGGTGGTTAGCTCGAGAGCTTGGAACCCTCATGAATAGCACAAGTACTTTTACAAAAGAGATCTGGACATTTCCTTAATTCATATAGTAATTATAATTTTTATCCAGTTTGTTGCGAATTCATTTTTTCATTACTACATAGTATTCACATGTATGAACATATACAATTTACTCATTTGACTCTTGATGAGATATTGTGCTTGTTTCAAGTTTCAGTTTATTACCAGGAATATGACTATGACTGGTCATATCTTTTTTTTGGGGGGGGGGGGGAATGCACAAAAGATACTTTTGATATAAGTGTCTCTGTTGGGTATATATCTAGGAGTCAAATTGCTAGTCATAGGCTGTGTGTTCAGCTGTAGTAGATACAGCCCAAAGCAGTTGTACCTATTTCCTCACTTACCAGCAGTGCACAAGATTCTTATTGTTCTATATATTACAACACTTGGTAATGTCAGTATTGGAAATTATAGTCATTCTGGATTATCTTATTGTGCTTTTAATTTGTATTTATTTAGGGACTAATTAGACTAAGCAACTTTGCAAACATTTACTAAACATTTGGATAGTCTCCAAAAAAAGAGAGACCCCAGAATGGTCTCGTTTCTTCTGCCATGTGAGGACACAGTGAGAAGATGGCCGTCTCTGGGCCAGGAGATCAGCTCTCAGCAGACACTGATCTGTTAGCACCTTGACCTGAGACTTTCCAGCCTCCAGAACTGTGAGAAATAAATGTTTGTTGTTTAAGCCGCCCAGTCTACTGCTTGGTTGTTACAGCAGCCCAAATAGACTAAGACTATGAGGCTCCAACTTGATTCTTTTCTGTATGTCTATCCAGAATTCCCAGTGCCATCTACTGAAAAGTGTATACTCCCCTCCCTTGAACATTCTTGGCACCCTTCTTGAAAATCAGTTGGTCAAAGATGTGTGGGTTTGTTTCTGACTCGATCTGATTCCCTAGGCCGACGCTCTAACTGCTGAGCCAAACGGGCCAGGGCTCAAAATATTTTTGATTATTATCTGGCTCATAGAGCAATAAAAATGATACTAAATTTGTTGTGAGTTGGATTTATACATACATCTAGAATGATAAATGAAATCAAAGGCAACCTTTGGTAGTTCAAAGGTTTGTATTAGTGACTGTTCTTCCTTCATTATATTTGCTATGTATGGTACATGAGTGGCTATTTTATTATGTTTTTTTTTACTAGCCTAGCATCAACTGCAAAGACATGTAAGTGAAGACATCTCCAAGGATTCTAGTCTTTAGCTCTTGAATCACCTCCAGCCTTTGAGTCTTCCCAGATGAGGTCCTAGACATCATAAAGCAGAGACAAGTCCTTCCCATTACCTACTTCCTGAACACCTGACCCACAGTAACAGAGAACATAGTAATTTTCTTATGCAGCAATAATAAGTGGAAAACTATGTGATTCTTGTCAAGTTACTATGCTCATCAAGCTACCTAATAAGCATCTGTGCAACCAATCTGTTCTTCAGGGTTTTCTCCTATTAAATTGTCTTCATAGGGCATTGTGAAGATTAAATAAAATCAACCTTGAAAGGTACTTAAAACATGCCTCATACACACTAAAAGGTCAAACAATAATAGTTATAACAATATTAAAAGTAAGATTTTTTTTAGAGAGAGAGAAACATCCATGTGAAAGAAACTTCCATTGGCCACTTCCTGTAAGCATCCCTACTGGGAATTGAACCTGCAACCTAGGTCTGCCCTGACCGGGAATGGAGCCTGCCACCTTTCAGTATGTAAGACGATGATCCAACCAACTGAGCCATATTGGCCAGGGCAAAAAGTAAGGGTTGCTTTTTTGTTTATTATATGTAAACCTTTAATGTATGTAAAATTTATTTTGGTTTAATGTGTAAGGTTGTATAAATTACATACCAGTCAACTCCAAATTAACACTTAGATTAGGGGCCAAATTACTGTCTTTAAAAAGATATGTGAAGAAAATCATTTCTTGTATAACTCCGTGCGTGTATGAAGAAGAAAACATGCATATTGCGCATTGTTCCTCCGTGTGCTATCAGGTGCATGAATACATTTTCATGTGGCTCTAATTCTGTTCATTTGTTCAAGTTGGAAAATGAAACTGAGAGGAATATTCCAAGATGAGGTAAACAAACAAAAAATACTCCACAAGATCAGAGCGATTTTATCTAGGCTGCAAGGAAGAAAGACAGCTCATCCATGAGGAGTTTGTATACACACTAAACACAGTCTCACTCGGGGCCAAACGTGATTTCATTTTCTAACCTAAGCTCATTAGTTTTAGAGCTCCATGCCCAATGGCCCGGGAAACACTTGATCTTCTCAGTTTAAGATTTAGAGAAGGAATGAAGGAAGCAAAGGAGGTCAGGGAAAATGTCAACAAGAACAGCTGGAGACTGGCATTCGTGGATCCCATGGAAAAGTTCTTGAACACAAAATGCACCACAGACTTAGTTCCATGTTGCTGCAAGGAGTCGGCCATTTGTTGGCTGAAGTCTGTGTTCACGAGGGGAGTTTCGCATCTAGGCTAGGCAGCTCCCATTTGGGAAGGGGGAAATCTCCAGAGAAGAAAATGGTGTGAATTATTAGCCCATACTCAATGCAGCTGGGTGGCACAGGCGCCTGTCAGCCAAGAGAATTTGGGCAGGGCACCAAATCAAATCAAAAGCATCCGCCACATAAAGTAAAATTCAATGCTCTGATGATGCCAATGTCTGCTCTTAAAACAGCAAGAAAAGATTTTATAACCAGAAACCAAGCTTTGTTTAAGCATTGACTTGCAGATATGTTCAAACTCTATCTTGACACCCAAGGCGAATCAATCATCTCTCTTTTATTTAATTTTTTCTAGACTGACATTTCCCATCCCCATGATTCAACAGGTAAGAGAGCCCATATATATATATAACTAGGAATAGAAGTATGTTGCTTCCCTACTTTAAATCCAATCTGCATGTCTTTCTTCATCCTGGCTCTTTAAAATCCCAACTGAGAATTTCTTAGAAAGGATTATATTCTCAGACATAGACTGAAGACAGAGAGTACTCCAAACTACTCAAGTAGAGGGGTGATTGGTTTATTGTATGACTTCCGTGTGGCATAATAAGGGAGTAAAAAGCTTATGGAAATCCAGGACCGGGAATTGCAGGAAAATGCCAGGGTTATTCTGTATCCAGGAAGCTTCACCACCTTGGCCACAGGTGCGCTGTTCCATCACCAATGCTGCTCAGTCTCTCTCTGCCTATTTGTTTCGCTCAGCATCTGCCTGTTTCCCTTCCCACCACTATTACTTGTAACTTGAACACTATATCATGGCATCTCTACAGATTCTATCATCTTTAACTACCATGCCACCTGCTTTATTATTAACATTTTTTTCCTCCTTTCTCATGAAAGAAACTGACTGGCCATCCTTGCTCAAAGTGTCCACTCTCAATTCAATCCCTAGTTCAATCATGTTCTACATGGCTACCAGGCCATCATAACCCCACCCACACCAAACTGTCTCTCAAATCTTCATTTTCACAAACTGAAATGCCCTTGAATTTTTATTTGATGCTTCTTCCCTATGCCTGACCAGGTTTTCTAACTTGATCCCACCTCCCACCCCCACCATCAGAGAGCTCTACCAGAGAAAGATGTGGCTCGTGTTGTTAGCCAATTGGGAAGCTGGAGTTAGTCCTCTTCTATCCCCATAACCCGTGAACAAAAAACGACAGTGCCTGGAGCTGTCAGGGCTAATCCAAAGAATCCCAACCCAGAGGATTGGATATAGACAAGGATAAAGTATGGTCACAGAATTATCAGTACCAGTCTGGGATTATTTTGACCCAAGTCTTTGCATTTCCATATAGGAGATGACAATTAAAAAATTTTAAACCCAACCCTATTCATGGCATCACCATCATAAGGAAACCAAAACCCCTTGCCAGATGCGAGCAACAGAGATTAGCAAAAATTCAGTCTAATGACCCATAATTTATGAGACTCAACCGCCTTCCACTGTTTCTTCTATGACTGCTACTTTTTTCACTACCAGCTAGTTTTCTCACCCTCTACCATTGTTAGAAGAGGAGAGCAAAGCATAGGTTCGGGGGAAGAAATAAAGGGGATGCTGAGTTGAAGAATGACCCCAAATCCAGGAGAGGTGCAGGACTAGGCTCCCTGGGGGATGTTGCAATAGTTACTATGTCTGCAACAGATCAGCTCTGTTCTCTTCTCAAAACCCAGGAAGCTGACGTCCTCACAGTTGGTCATACATGACAGTTTGGAATAAAAGTATATACTTCGCCCTGAGGAGGTAAAAGAGAGGGGACACAACTATAATGACTATGTTCCCTTCTACCACATTCCTAGGAACCCCCCCTCTTCAGAGCCTCACTATTTTTTCCCTCGGCCCAAATGAGCCCCAAAGCTGAGTCTACTCATTACTGACCCAGATAATGAATTTCATTCCCTAACCAATAAGACGCATCAGCTTCTTCTTCACTTCGTCTTAAGGAGAAGTGCATTTTTGCCATCTCCTCTAGAGGACCACCCCATCCTCGCCCACCCCACTCACTCACACACTCTGAGGGCAAAAGAACACCCTTGTGTCTAAGGAAAGGAGGTGGATGCTTCTCAGTCACTCCGTACCCCACACTACCTTTTTTGGTAAGTACGTAAAAGTTCTCAATAGCACAGGACTGTTGGTACTTCAGGATGCAGGAACTCATCTGGTCATAGCACAACCCAAGATGAAACTTTTTACATTTATAACAAAATATTGAAGGCTCTGGCAGACACAGAAAGAGGTGCTTACAGAGTGTACGCTGGAGAAGGTTCCCCAGGCCTGGGGGCTTCTCTACAGGAATTTACTGCTGCCCAGTAGTTCCTAATCTTTCTCAGGCCATTGAATCCCTTGATTATCTCATGAAAGAATCATGTACAGACATCAACCAAATGTTGTATATGACTTCAAAAGGTCAGAGTTCCTGTAAAATGTATCTACACTCCCCCCCAAGATTTATCCCCTTGTCAAGCCAACATCTAGATGAGTTTTGCCCAGTAATGAGGAAAAGGAAGTAAAAAAAAAAATAAGGGATTTAATTTCCTTACTGAAAGAAATGGACTAAATTAGTCAGGGAGAAGACAAAACTCCTAGGACTCTCTAGTAAGAATGTATTACAGCCTTTCTGAAGATGGAAGGGAGGTTTACTTCTAAACATGTTATACGTGACCTATTTACCAAGAACTTTAGACGAGGCATGGTTATACCTGTCAGGAATGCCCGAAGTCCACCTGTGAAAAGAAGAAAAGTCTTCTTTGTCATAATCTCACATATCTCTGCCAATTTTGGAAATGACTCCTCCCTCGGCATCTACCCATCTCAACCAACAGCCAGCAGCCCCTCTGTCTCCAGGACTTACCATTGTTTGTGCAGAGCAGAAAGACCGTGCCCAGCAAAAACAGAATGGACATCCTGGGACTTGGGTCATGTGTGGTTTACTGAGCAACATGCTGGTTGATCTCTTGGGTTATTCCTCTAAATTATCTAATCATAAAATCTCAGGACAGACAGTACCTCGATGTTCCTAGAGCCAAACCACCCACTAGAGTCTCACTACCCCTAAGGTATCTAGTTTAAAATTCTCTTCAGTGATGAGCCAATATATACAGGGTGGGGCCAAAGTAGGCTTACAGCGTATGCAGAACACAGAGTATGCAGAACACAGAGTTTATTCTTGTATTATTATTATTTATTAATTATTGTGTTGTTTTCCATACGAACAACTGTAAAACCTACTTCTGCTCCACCCTGTATATATTCGCTGCTGGGCAGCTGAGCCTTGAGCTGTGCAGTAAAGTCAGGTCTCTTTCACATGCTAACCTTTCATATCCATCAAGACGGGATTGGACACCGTAGTTCCTTTGAGTTCTTTCCACTCACCTAGTCACTCTCTCTAGAATAATCTCAGGGTTTTCTTTTGTCTCACCTAGACTGTGGCACCAAAAACCAAGCCCAGGGTTCCAGGTGTCACCTGAGGCGGGGGGGGGGGGGGGGGCAAGCACTGGGGAGCCCCTTCTGTGTTATAGGGAAGGGAAGTTTCAGGGAAAAGGGGATCAGAGGTGAGATTTGTCTGGTTTGCTTTCAGGTGACTGATTTTGTCATTAAGTAATTACGAAACACACACCAAATGCCAACATCACAGGAAGAAGAGCAATGAACCAGGACACAAGTCAGTGGTCTCACAGATGCTAGAGCCTAGGTTGAGGAGCCCAAATCGGCCAGGCAAGGCTGTCTGCAAGGGCCACTGAGGGACATTTCAGTCTGACCGACTCACCAGGGAGAGCTTCCCTGAAAAAGAGGTGACTGGGCAGGACTTTTCAGGCTGACAGTGTGTGAGCTAAGAGAAGTGAGTAGGGACAGGTACCCAAAGAACAGCATAGGTCACAGTACGGAGATGTCAGAAAACCTGACACTGTAATGAGAGCAGGTCACGTCCTCGCAGTGACATGGGTGAGCAAGAAACCAAGGCCCAGAGGTGGGTCTTCTTGGAGGTGATGGCATGTGGGTAAAGAAAGGGGACAATGCACTGGTCATGCTGTTGAGGTTACTGTGCCCTAAGCATGTAGGTTGAAATTTCTCACTACCTGACTGTACATATGTATTTGGTCACTTGCTTGACTCCTGCACTAGGACAAAGCAAGGGCTTTGATTTACTTACCACTGTATATCCAGTATTTGGGATATACAGTGGTATATACAGGAGACACCCAGTAAATATTTGTGGAGCAAATGAATGATGATTTCTCCACATCCTTTCTTGCATCCTGCCAGTCCAGTCTTCAGATAGCAACCAGGTGATCAGATTGCTTTTTTTTTTGGAACTAAAATAAGGATGTGAAAATGAGGCCCCTTCTATGTTCCAGCTAGAGTCCCAAGATAGTAGGTGGCACACATTTTTACACCTCAAAGTGAGGTGTTGTGCTACTTAGGAAGATTTACAAAGAAAATACATGAAAACCAGTTTGAATATCCTGGGCCTTTTGCCTATCCGGATAGTATAAATAATTAAACATTAAAGTACCAAAGATAGCCCTGCGTGGCTCCGTTGGCTGATTGTTGTCCCATGTACCAAGAGGTCACCGGTTTGATTCCTGGTCAGGGCACATGCCCAGGTTGCAGTCTCGATCCCCAGAAGGGGGTGTGCAGGAGACAGTCGATTAATATTTCTCTCTCTTCCTTCCTCTCTCTTTAAAATCAATAAGAACATTTTTTAAAAATAGAAGTTGACTTTTTAAATAAGTGTCAAAGATAAAATAGGAGGAGCTTTTATAGTCTCAGGAGGAGAACAGCTTTCTATAAGTGGCCCAAATACACACCATAAAAAAAAAAGCCCTGGCCGGTTTGGCTCAGCGGTTAGAGCGTCGGCCTGCGGTCCTGACGCTAAGGGCACGTACCTCGGTTGCAGTTTGTCCCTGGCCCTGGTTGGGTCGTGTGGGTGGCAGCCACTCGATGTGTCCCTTTCACGTCGATGTTTCTCTCTCTCTCTCTCCCTCCCACACTCTATCTGAACAAAAAATGAAAAAATGTCCTCGGGTAAGGATAATAATAAAAAAAAAAAAAAAAAGACTGAACCCTGAAGCATCATCCAGTACACCAAAAAGCTGCAGGTTCTATTACAGGTCAGGGCACACACCTAGGTTGTGGGCTCAATCCCCAGTCAGGGCGCGTATGTATGGAGGCAACTGATTGATGTTTCTCTCACACATCATTGCTTCTCTCTCTCTCTTTCTCTCCCTCCCTCTCTCTCTGAATATCAATTTTTTAAAAATCCCATGTGAGGATTAAAATTTGAAAAAGAATGATATGTTTGGCTACATATAAAAAACTTCTGTGGGGGTGGTTGGGTGATGGGAACTAACCACTAACTCACAACCAAAGTCCAAATAACAAATAAATAACCAGTGAAAAATATCTGCGATTCATATAAAAGACTTAGGGATAAATATCCCTATTATACAAAGAAATCTTAGAAAAAGATAAACATTCAAAAAGAAGGTAGGCAGTTAATAACATTAATTCACAGGAGAAATAAAAACGGTTCTTAAACATGTGAAATGTGCTGAGCTTACTCCTAATTTGAGACACTTAAACGGAAACTAAATTGAGATACTATTTTTACTGAGTACTAATTTTACTGAAACTACTTTTACTGTTAATCTGAACTTGATAACACCACCGTGTTGACAAGGCTGAAGTAAAACAAGCACTTTCCTACATTGCTCATAGGAGTGGAAGTTAAAACATCAGTAAAAAGGAAAAGTAGACAACAGCTACCAAAATGATAAAGATATAATGATCTTAACCGAGTAATTCTATGGAATTATCCTTGCACATTTGTGGACAAATGAATATACACAGTTATTCTTTGCAGCTTGGTAACTACAAGGTTGAAAGCAACTTATACTTATCTCATGTATACGTGGAATGGGAACAATGGAAATGTCCTTTGCTAGATAATTGGATAAAGAAGATGCACATATGTGCAATGGAATACTACTCAGTCATAAGAAAAGATAAAATACTGACACTTGCAACAACCTAGATGGATCTTGAGAATATCATGCTAAGCGGAATAAATCAGGTGGGAAAAGTCAAGAATCATATGATTTTACTTATATGTAGGATAAAACTGAAAGCAACAAATGAACAAACAAGACAAACAAACAAAAACTCAGAGACATACAACAGTATGGTGGTTACCAGATAGAGAAGTGGGGAGACAGTAAATATATATGGTGATGGAAAGGGATTTTACTTTGGGTGGTAAACTCACCATGAATTTTGGAACTATATACTTGAAACCTATACAGTTTTATTAACCCATGTCACCCCAATAAATTTAATAAAATGAAAAAATAAATAAAAAAGAAAAAATTGCATGGTTAAAAATAAAATAAAACGATACAACTTTGGAGGACAATTCGCTTTTTCTTGAAAAGTTAAAATTCCATTTCCCATTTGACCCAGCTATTCCACTCCTAAATAATTCCTTAAGGGAAAACAAATTGTATGTCCATACAAAGACATACATGAATGTTCATAGCAGCTTTATTTGTAATAAGTAAAATCTGGAATCAATTCAAAATAGATTTTTTAAAAAATGGTATATCCATAAAATAAATACAATAAAAAAATTGAGTCAATAAAAAAATAAATAAAATAATATTGACTTAACAATGTGGATGAAACACACAAAAACAATATGTGCTAAGTGAAAGAAGTAAAAAAAAAAAAAAGAGTACTTTCTGTATAGTTTTATCATACAAAACTCTAGAAAATGCAAACTAATCTATAGTAACAGAAAGCAGATTAGTGGTTGTCTGAGGCTGCTGGGAAGGAGGTCGAAGTGGAAGCGAGATATCACAAAAGGAATTACAAAGGCTCACAGAGAAGCTTCTGGACCTCATGGATATGTTCCCTCTCTTGATTTTGGCAATGGTTTTACCATTGTGAACATGCCAAATATTATTATACCATACAGTTTAAATTAGTGCTGTTTTTGGATGTCAATTATACCTCAATAAAGCTATTATAAAAAATTTTAAATACAATGTAAACATCCTTTTAAATCATCACTGAGGAGCAGATAGACATTGTATGTCTCTAGATAGGATACAAAGGACACAGTATCACCCATGCAGTGTTTCAGCCTAAAATGAACCATCGAAACCTAATCCTGAGGAATTATCAAATAAACCGAAAATGATGAATACTGCATTTTAACAGAGAGAAGACTGTTGTCTTTACTATATACATAAAGAATGAACGAAAGCAAGGACAGGCTGCAGAAATATTCCAGTTTAAAGGAAGCTTAAAAGACAGGACAACTAAATGTAATTCCTCACCCTAGTCTGGTCCCTGTACTCAGAGGGGAAAATGTTATATAGAAAATTAGTGGATCAAATGACTAAATAAAAGTATTTAGCAATGCTAAATTTACCACAGTTGGTAACTTAATGTGACTGTGTGAGAGAATGTCTTTATTCTTAGAAAATAAATGCTAAAATAAGTTTAAGAGGTCTGGAGCAAAGACGCGGGCAACTACCCAAAATAGTTCAGAAAGTGGGGTAAGGAGACGGGGACCGTGGAGGGGTTGAAAGGAGAGAGCGAGAATGCAAGCAACTGATACAGCAAATGGGATTCAAAGTTAACTATGCAAGGATCTGGGGAAAGAATAAATGGTGTTCTTTGTGTTATTCGTATTTTTGCAACTTTTTCTGTAGGTTTGAAATCATTTCAAAATTATAAAAGTAAAAAAAAAAATTTTTTTTTAAACTCCATTAGAAGCACGTGTTTTGTCCTGAGATAAATGAACTAATCTTTGGTTGTCCTACAACATTTTAGATACTATTGCTATCAGAAATATATAACAGATAAAATATTGTGATTCCTTGACTCAGCTTTAATTGTGTTCAAGATAGAAACAACTTCCAAAAGATTTCTGGAGTATTTCCAGATGATCACAGACTTATTCTTTCAAAAAATTGACAAAGAACTTTGCATTTCAATTCCATTCTGGTAAAGAAGTTTCCTTAGCACTTAAAAATTGGCAAGGAGAAATATTGGTTAAAAAGTACAGACATCCAGCTAGAAGAAGAATAAGTTCTGAGAGTTTAGTGCACAGCATGGTGGGTATAGATTACACACTTGAACCTTGCTAAGAGTGTAGACCTTAAATGTCCTCACCACTAAAAAAAGAAATGATGATTAAGGGCTGTGATAGAAGCGCTAGCTAATGCAATGGTAGTAATCATAGTGCAATATATAAGTATATTTAATTAACACATTGTACACCTTAAAATTACACCATGCTATATGTCAATTACTTCGGAATCAAGTCGAGGTGGGGGGCAGAAGAAAAATATTTGCAAGGATGCTGGCTTCTACCCTCTTCTTGAATACTGGCAATGTAGCCAAGAAAGTTTTGATTTTTCAGTAGTACTTTAATAATAACTTCAGGATTTTGAATTGCAACATTGATCACATTCAGATGGTTAAAAGTATCTTTCAGGTAAGCCAGGCCATGAATCAAGTCCTCCCTTTCAATATGTTTCAAAAGTAGGTTTTCTTTTTCATAGAGAGAGATATAGAGAGAGAGAGATAGACTTCTCTTAGCAGAATAGATACTAAGGCTGGGCCCTTAGAAAGCCAGAGAGCTGCCTGGCTGGTGTGGCTCAGTGGTGGAGCATCGACCCTGCACCAAGAGGTCACCAGTTCGATTCCCAGTCAGGGCACATGCCCAGGTCATGGGCCAGATCCCCAGTGCGGGGTATGCAGGAAGTGGCCAATTGATGTTCTCTCTCATCTATGTTTCTGTCTCTCTCTCCCTCTCCCTTCCTTTTTCTCTAAAATCAATAAAAGAAAAAAAAATTTTTAAATAAAGAAAGAAAAGAAAATCAGAGAACTTCTACATGATAGAGAAGTCTTTCTTATTCTCTACAAAAATATGTTTTAAACATGATGATTTATGAATCTGCTTCAGAAAAAGTTGGCTTTTTTGGATGATGACAGAATTCCTTCCGGGGACGTGTGAAGAGTTTTCATGGTTAGTGTGTGCTGCGACATGAGTGAGTGGCCAGGACATGAGGACATTCCATTCTCTCTCAAGGAGCAGAACCAGGTGGCCACCACGCATCTGAGCAGCTCCACCTCTGAAAAGAGAAAAGAAGCTTTTGTCTCAAAGTTTCGCATGATAAAACCACCTTTTTACCATTGCTAAAGAGTTACTGTCTTTCACAGCCTCCAAAAGAGACGCAGGATGTCAGTATTCCATCTGCGCAGACCGAGCAAAACCAAAGGACACGGGGAACTGGGTGCACTGGAAGAGGCCTGTCATTTCATCCTACTGGAAAACGGAGCGTGGCGCGGGCCAGGTCCTCAATGACCACCTCAAATCCCCGAGCCCAGTAGGACCTATTCCATCTGGCAAAGCAAATGAATCACAGGCTTCCCCTCCCCCCCACTTTGCAGTCCACAGACCAGTCCAGCTTGGTTTACTAAAGTTAACCCAATGGAAGTGGAGTTTCCTTCCATTCAGCAGGCTGGTGAGAAATGTATGGCAGCCCCGAGAAAGGGTTCTGCACGATGGCACGGCGACATTTAGAAACATGTCGACTTTTTCAAACTGAGCTTTCTTATCAGGAAACATTCCGAGTCCCCAGATGCGTCTTCAGGACACAGGGCAGAGACAGGAGCCTTCATTGGGTTCAGCGTCCCGCGTGCATTCACGAGACTGTTTCCACATAGATTAAACCTTTGTGTTCTAGCCCTGGCCAGTTTGGCTCAGCGGTTAGAGCATCGGCCTGTGGTCCAGAGAGGCCCGGGTTCGGTTCCCGCTAAGGGCACGTACCTCGGCTGCAGTGTGTCCCGGGCCCTGGTTGGGTCATGTGGGTGGCAGCCACTCGATGTGTCCCTTTCACGTCGATGTTTCTCTCTCTCTATTCCTCTCTCTCCCTCCTGCTCTGTCTGAATAAAAAATGGAAAAGTGTCCTCGGGTGAGGATAGAAAAAAACCTTTGTGTTCTAGCAAGTTTAAAGAGGCAAACCAAACCATCTACCACTTCTGTTCTTCCACTTATTTCTATCGGTGATGATCTCAGGCACTGCTAAATTCTCATAGTTTATTGCCAGCATTCAATGTGGAAGGAAGTGACTAATATCAGCTAGAGGTTAATGAAGAGTCTACATTTTTTCTGTCACAGTTCATGGCCCCCGTGATACTGAGATGACACCAGATACCGTGTTCATAAACCGTGCTCAGTAAGGGAGGTAAGGTGGTCCTTGCCAGACGTGCCACCATCAGGATTCTGGGAGGACTCCACGAGGTTCCCTAAGTGGACATGGCCATCCTTCTAGGTGGCACATGCACTCGATTAATGTTGCTTTGGTGCCTTCCTGTACCTCTCTTCCCCCCAGCAATCCGAGGTGTGAGGGGCTAGATGTGAACTCTAGGTGATTTTCTTGGACCCCCCTCCCGTCATATTTTTTAAAGAATCGCTCTCTCTCTCACTCCAGTCTCTGTACACACTCTGGAAGACCATTGCTGCCCCCAGGAACCCAGGGACAAAGCAGCCTGATCTTGACTCTATGCCAAGATCCACTTCCCCCAAACAGAAGGTAGCTTTTAGAAGCTCAAATTAAGAGGTTGCTCATCCGTGGTATCACCAAGATGTCAGTCACCCACCCTGGAGCCAAGGGAGACTGTGAACACAAGGACACGATGTTCTTTCATCTCCACTGAGCAGGGCAAACGGCATCTGCGCTGAGCATCAGCCTTGGAGGCATGGGAGGTGCTGTGCCCCATGACTCTGGATCACTGGGATCATGGAGACTGATACCTTCATTCATTCACTTCTCCATTCAATCCTCGCATGTTCAGCACATCATCATGTGCTAAGCAGAGTGCTAGTTCAGAATAGCAGAACTTGGTACCCATCCTCACAGAACCATAGAATGTTCAAGTTGTAAACGATCATAAAAATGGTCGAAATCTCACATCACAGATAAGTGGCTTGGTCAAGACGCCATGAGCTGCGTTGTAATCCACCACAGGTCTCCAGACTCCCAGGAAAATGCTATTTCTATTAATAGGTTCTAATACCTGTTCTCTCCTACTCCGTGCTAAATGAAAAAATTGTTTTTCAGAGAAACTTGGATGCATGAGTTACTGTGAGAGAAGGAAGAGTAGGTCAGAGGACCCCGATGCTCGGGTGGAGTCACAAAATTCCATAACCCTAACTGGAAATAATCCAGTAGAAAAGAGTTTCGATCCTCAATGGGCCTTTCAGAAAGCATCTGCCACAGGGAACCTTGAAGGAAGAACAATGGAAACTGTGCTAACACTGCAATTTAACCAAGACTTCTGCTTCCTTGGCTCTCGTTCTAGAGTTACTGTCATTAAACAGACAAAGCAGAGAAAACAGATGACAAATGAAATACCCTGATAACCTTGTAAATCCAAGCACCGAAGGCTCAGAGGTTTGCCTTCTTGATAAGCCTTTGGAGAGTCCTGAAAAATTCCATCCAGTTTATAACGTCCTCACCAGACGTAATGCAGAGTCAAGATTTCACAATCTTGCTCTCCAATGTAGCATCAATTCTTTTTAGAACCAGTTCCTTCGTGTCTATGGCTTCCGGCTCTCTTCCCAGGCAAGAACGACTGTCAGTGTTGTGGCATTTGAGCCAAGACCTTACTTTTACACAATCTGTGTCTGATGTCTCAAACTATCAAACTTGATATGTTTTATTGAACGTATTGTTCCTACAACCGAAGAGCATGCCATTGAATCAGTTTGTAATGGAAGAGTCGTTGTATCTCTAGGCAAAGTACCACCAGCTCACTGACAAGTGTGGGAGATTTAGGATGCCAGGGCTGGTCATCATTTTTCAGTGCTTTGCCCGCGGTAAACTTTAACTGAGTTAACTTTTGTAGAGATAAATACCTACATCATGGACAAAACCAGCGGGATTCACAATATAAATTTGCTAAAGTTCAAGTTGTGTGATAATTCTTGGGTAGAAATACCCTACAAATTTAACAGTCCCTGGCCAGGGAGGACGTTTTTCTAGCAAGGTAAAAGAGTTCTGGGCTGAGAATCAGAAGTTCTAGGTTGAAGACTCAGTTTGGTCACACATTATATGTCTTTTCATCTCCTCTCCTATTTCTCGTCCATAAGATAAGGAGCTAGGTGAGCTCGTCTGGGTTAGTCATTGCTCCCATCTCATACATAGACTGTGTCAGGCATGTAATCTCTCAATAAATATTTGTTGAATGTATGAATAAATCTCCAAGAGGCGTGGAATCAAGGGGATTAAAAGTATGGTCTCTAGCCCTGGCCAGTTTGGCTCAGCAGTTAGAGCGTTGGCCCTCCAACCAATGAGTCTTCAGTTCGATTTTGGTCAAGAGCATATACCTCAGTTGTGGTTCATTCCTGGTCTGGTTGGGTCATGCGGAGGCAACCAGTCGATGTGGCTCTATCACATCAATGTTTCTCTCTGTCTCTCTTTCCCTCCCTTCCACTCTATTAATGATTTTTTAATCATTAATAGAGTGATCTTGGGTAAGATACTAACCTTCACCAAGACCCAGTTTCCTCCTGTGAGAAATTGGAATAAGAATTATAATATCGTAACTAGAATACTAATAATAATTACTGTGACGGTCATGTAAAAAACAGTTAGCTTAAGGTAAACCCCAGCATTTGTTACTTATCATTATTCTCTGCTCTGGGGTGGAGAAAATGAAGTTGAGCTCCCAGAGGAAGCCTTGTGTGATTGGTTCCCTTATGCATGAATAATCCCTGCCCTGTGATGAAGGAAGCTTCCTCCCTGTAGCCTAAAGACCTGGGCTTGCTCCCCTGGCTTCTTTTCTGCCTGCCCAGGGCCCTTCTGCATCAGGATGAACAAACACTTCTTGTTGGTCTTCTTCCTCCTCAGCTGCATTGAGGGTGAGTCACAGACTTGAGGAGTGGGCTCCAGAGCTGGGATTTAGGGAGCCCAGGACATTCCATCTGTGTAATGGATACCCATGCAGGGCTGAGCCTTGACTACATTTATAAGGAAGGGGAAGCTGGCCTTCCGAATCCTCCCTTTGCCTTCCCGGTCGACTTTCTGACCTTTTCTACGGTCTGCCATTCCCCATCCAGGGCTCAGGCCTCTGTGGCTGCCCCTTCACACAGCTTCCCCTCTCTTTCCCCATTGTTCCTCTTAATCCAAAATCCTAACGAGATTTTGTCTCGGAGCATTCTTTCCATTTATTAGTCTGTATCCATTTCTCAAGGGAGTTGGTCACTCTATAGTGAATAATTTTGTAGTTTATTTCAGTGTCGGACAGTGGTGTTTGATACCCTTCTCAGGGGATTTGTATTAAAACCAGTGATTGTAGGAGAGCAGATTCTGGGTGTTGTGGAATCAAGCGATGAGAGAGACGGCTCAATCACTGTCCTAAATGCTCTGTACTTTTGGCTGCTCATCTGGGAAATGGGGAAATGCCTACTTACAAGGCTTCTGTGAGAATTAAATCAGATACAAATTGAAAGAACATGGCCCAAACAAGATGTTCAATAAATGCTACTTTCTTTGCTCATGCAGGACCCCAGGGAGAGGTGTTTAAATGAATTAAACCTGTATTTTGATTAGCTCACTCCACAAAGTATCACATAAAGTGTCACCGACTAGGCTGTAATTCATGAGGCCTTCACCAAGATTCAGCCTGAATTTCAGAACAACAGAGTGTATTCCCTAACCACATCCAAGCAGTGAATGTCAGAAATCCCATCACAGTGACTCTAGCGCGGGTAAACTATTTTATTTTTATTTAATTTTTAAAATTCTTACCTGAGGACATTTTTGCATTTATCTTTAGATAAAGCGGGAGGGAGAGAGGGAGGAAGAGAGACAGAGAAACACAGATGTGAGAGAGACACATGGAGTGGTTGCCACCCACAAGACTCCAACCCGGGCCAGGGACAAACTGCAACTGAGGTACGTGCCCTTAGCGGGAACCGAACCCGGGCCTCTCTGGTCTGCGGGCCGGCGCTCTAACCGCTGAGCCAAACTGGCCAGGGCTGGGTAAACTATTTTAAAACACTCAGCCTTTTTATCACACTGCTGCCGTATAGGCCCGGCCAGCAATAATACAACTGTTTTCAAGCTGGAAAAAGCAATGCCATGAAGGCTACTCTTTGCTTAGTTACCCAGGTTAAATGGCTAAAGCTGGGATCAGAATCCTTTTATTCCCCTAACAGCATTTCTCTGGGATGCGGAGTAGTTGAGAGCTCCAGTTGTTTAATACCTGGTGGCATCAGCTCTTCTTCCACCTCCCACCTCGTCCCCCAGACCTGTATCGATCCAGCTCCCTCTGAGTGCTGGCATCTCCTGGCCTCACCCCAGCTCTGTCTCCCCAGTACAGACACTACTGAAGTGCATCACGTGCCACCTTCGCATAAAGTCGGATCGCTGTAGAAGAGGCTTTGGCATCTGTGTCGCTCAGAAGAGTGAGGCTTGCATGACCTTAAAGATCTACGCGGGTAAGTTGGAGGCTTGGGGTGGGGGTACTGTGAGATTCTCAGACAGTTCTAGGGAGAAGACTTCAGCAATGTTATATCTCAGAGAGAGGCTGGTCTAGCAGAGGAGCCCAAATGCAGGCGCACCAAGCAGGGGCCCCGGGGCACGCAGGCAGAAGAGGATTTGGGAGGGCGAGACAGGAGGAAGGTGGGGATTCTCCATTCCCAGTCAAACTGGCCAAACTAACCCCGACTCTAAAGACACTAAAGCGCTAGTTACTAATCTTCCAGGGGACAGGGAATGAGGCAGCTTCACAAAGGACTGAGGGTTGTCAGAGTCCTCGGGCAGCAACCCCTGCGAGGGCCAGTGGTTTCTACGCCACCTGCCTGGGGCCTCTTGGGCAGTGTGAACGGGAGGCCATTCTAATCCTGCCCTGATGCCTAATTACATTTTCAGAGCCTGGGCTACTGCCAGGTTTGACTTGTCTTCGTAGAACTTAGATCACTGACGTGTTTTCTACGGTCCCTTCTTATTACAGACCAGTCCTTCCAGTTATCATATATGGTGTGTCAGAAGTTCTGCAGAGACTTGACGTTTGATTTCAACAATCGGACTTATGTTCATGAATGCTGCAACTACGATTATTGTAACTATAAGTTCTGAGATGTTTGCCAGCCCGAGGTCTCACTGTAGAAGGAATGTCAGTGGGTCTTTCCGCTTCCCACTCGCCTGCCCTCCTCTCCCGCCCGCACCATCCTGGAAGCTGCCCAGCTCTCGCCGAGTCCCGTCTTCCTCTCTAGTCTCCCAGCTCGGTTCCTTTCTCAGCCAGAGGACAGTGCTTCTCAGCAACAGGTTTCTCCCTTATTAGGCTCGTCCACACCCAAGAAGCATTTGCAGAGAGGCCCAGTATAGAACATTTAAAACATGATCACTCTAGAACCTTGTGATTGGTTTAGATAGTTGAGGTAAACTAGAACTCCCTCAGCTGAAAATTCACAAATACTTATTTTCATTTAAAACGTCCATGTATCATTATTATAATCAAGCAGAAATGGCAACACATTTGGTGGTGGATACTCAAGAGTTTCCTCTATGGGAATGAAGTTCTTTTCCCCAGTGGACAGTGTCCACTTCAGACTCAGTGATGCTTTTCTTGTCATTTACAAAGTCTATCCACAGACAGTGTTAGTCAGACATAGCAAATAAGAGATTCCCTGCTCCCATGGCAGTCACGGTGTACACGGGGCCACCAGGCCTGTCGGGATGGGTGCTCCAGGTACATTGCGACCCTCCCTTTGCCCCTTCCTCTCCGAGTCTTTCTCCATTCCACCTTCCTTTGCCTTCCACCTGCACTATCATCCCCTCAACACCCACACCACTCCTAACGAATCCTTTCTGTCTGTCCAATTTGCCCCAGCATGTAATAAATCACAGCGAGAGCAGGGACCACGTTTTACCCATCTCAGTTGCCTTTGGCTGGCCCGTGAAACTTCATTGTGTTTAATTGAACAACCAGTCAAGTGGACTTTTTCTTTTCCACCTGTCTAGTTTGCAGCACTAATGATGCCTTCATGGTTTTTCTGGCTGCAGACCTATTTTTTTTTTTTTAACTGTACTGGGAGTGGTGGTAACCTCTGCTTTCTACCTGGCGAAGCAGTCATGAGGAAAAAAAACAAAAAAACAAAACCAGAGGTATAATAGTTCTGGATGGCAAACTATAGTAATTAAAACAGCATAGTTCTGGCATAAAAATAGACACATAAACCAACAGAACAGAATAGAGAGCCCAGAAATAAAACTCCACATTTACAGTCAACCAATATTTGATAAAAAAGTTAACACTCAATGGGAAAAGGATGATCTCTTCAACAAATGATGTTGGGAAAAGTAGATAACCATATGCGAACTAGACGGAAAAGAAAAAGTGGTTTGCCTTTTTATTTTTAAAAAGCGTTTCTTTGGCTGTGTAGAAGCTTTCAGTGTGATTTAATCACACACTGAATTTTGCTTTTGTACTTTGGGTGTCATGCCTAAAAAATACCTTTGCCAAGATCAATGTCAAAAACTTCTTTCCTGTTTTCTTCTAGAAGGGTTATGGTATCCGGTCTTATGTTAAACTCTTTAGTACATTTTTGTGACTAGTTTAACCTAGAGGACCACTTTGTAAAGTAGATGATTGCCTAATCACAATGTAGTACACCTAAAACAAATACAAAATAATATTGGATGTAAACTATAATTGACAAATAGAAAAATATATTATTTCTTTATCACAGCAACTCTGTAAAGAAGATTCTATCATTTTTTTTTTTTTTCACAAATAAGAAAACTGGAGTTTTGAGATACTAAGAGAGTAGCCCAGGGTCATTTAGTGAGGTAGTAACAGAATTGGGTTGATTCAAATTAGCATCTTTTGGGCTCAAAGCATCCATATCAAAAAAAAAAAAAAAAAAATCAAATTAAGAATGGCCAGAGGAACTAAATAGGAACTAATTTTCCCAGAGAAGTCATCCGAATGGCCAACATATTCATAAAATGCTCAACATCACTCACTAATCATTGGGGAAATGCACCTCTAAACCACGAGTTATGACCTCATTCCTGTTAGAATGGCTATCAAGAAGAGTAGAGATAACAGTGCTGGAGAGAATGTGGAGAAAAGGTAACTCTCCTACACTGCTGGTGGGAGTGCAAATTGATAGAGCCACCATAGAAAACAGTGTAGAAGTTCCTCAAAAATTTAAAAATAGAACCACCACATAATACAGCAATTCCATTTCTGGGTATACATCTAAAGGAAATGAAAATAAGATGTCAAAGAGATATATCTACTCCCATATTTATTGTAGCATTCTGTACAATAGCCAGAATATGGAAACAACTTGTGTCCATCAACAAATGAATGGATAAAGATGTGGTACATATATTCTATTAGATATGTAAAATAATTCTTACAAATAAATTTCATGATGACAAACTACCCAACAAAAAATGGGAAAAAGACTTGAACAGGTTTTTCACCAAAAAGAATACACAAATGGTCAATAAGTATCTGAAAAATGTTGTTGATGAAACTGTAAATGGGTATAATCATGTTGAAAAATATGGTATTTTCTCATTCTTATTATAAATGCACCCTATGGTTTAGAGCCATGAACATCTCAGTAAAAATAATTCATTGCCATTTGAATCATCAAGGAAATCTTTTAAAGAAGCTGTCCTCTTTGACTATTCATGCATTGATACCATATTATTTTAATTATAAAGGCTTTGTGTTTTATTTCCATAGTATTTGGAAATGAAGCCTTCCTTCATTGCTCAGCATTTCCTGGTATTTCTTATGTATTCTTCCAATTGGTCTTTATGTTCAACTTGTCTAACTCCAGGGTAGGAATGCTTTTGTTGGTGTTTTTTCAACCCACCTACTGTACCTTTTACCTATTTTTTGTTATAGTTTTCTTTATATGGATTTTTTTTCTGCTGAATATGAGACATTCCATTTTACAATCTAAGCAGTTATCATATATATATGTAAAGGCAATTGGTAACGGAATGTTAATTTTATGTCTTGTTACTTAAATAAATTCTCTTATTATTAATACTAGCTTTTCTTTTTTTTTTCATCCTTACCTGAGGACATTTTTTCATTTTTTGTTCAGATAGAGTGGGAGGGAGAGAGAGGAAGAAAGAGAAAGAAACATTGACGTGAAAGGGACACATCAAGTGGTTGCCACCCGCACGACCCAACCAGGGCCGGGGACGAACCTGGGTACGTGCCCTTAGCGGGAACCGAACCTGGGACTCTCTGGACCGCAGGCCAATGCTCTAACTGCTAAGCCAAACCAGCCAGGGCTAATACTAGTTTTTCTATTGATCCATTTGGTTTCATCAGATACACAACCTTCTCATTTGCAAAATAAAAATTGTTTTGCTTCTCCCTTTTAAATTCTAAGCCCTCTGCTTGATTTCTCTTATCTAATTGCATTAGCTAATCTTTTTTTAAAATTTTATTGAATTGTTGGGGTGACATTGGTTAATAATATTATATAGGTTTCAAGTATACAATTCAATAATACATTATCTGTATATTGTATTGCGTTCACTACACAAAGTCAAATTTCCTTCCATCACTGTTTATCCCCTTACCCTCTTCTACCCCACCCCCTTTCCTCTGGTGATCACCACACTGTTGTCCATGTCTGTGAGGGGTTTGGTGGGGACTTTTTTGTATTTTTGGCTTAATCCTTTCACCTGTTTCACCTAGCCCTTGACCCCTGCTCCACTCTGACAGCTGTCAGTCTGTTTTCTGTATCTGTGCATCTGTTTCTTATTTTGTTTGTGTGTTTATTTGTTCATTAGATTCCACATATAAGTGAAATCATATGGTATTTGTCTTTCTCTGACTGGCTTATTTGACTTAGCATAATACTTTCCAGGTCCATCAATGCTGTCGCATAAGGTAAGGTTTCCTTCTTTTTTATGGCTGAGTAGTATTCCACTGTGTGACCATACCACAGAATTAAAAAAAAAAAATTCTCACCTGAGGATATGTTTATTGATTTTAGAAAGAGGAGAATGGGGGGGGGGATATTGATGTGAGAGAGAAACATTTATTGATTGCTTCTCATATACAGTGATACCTCGGTTCTCGAACATAATTTGTTCCAGGAGGACGGTCGAGAACCAAATTGTTCGAGAACCGAAGCAATGAAACCCAATAGGAAATCATGGAAACTGGATTAATTCGTTCCAAGCCCCAGAAAATGCCTATTTACTGGCCTAATTTGTATATTATATGTAGAAAAACATAAGTCTCAACAAGAAATAAAAGTGTACAGTATGTCTAAGGGTTAAATTCAGTGTAAAGCGTGACTCTCTCCACAAAGCGTGACTCTCTCTCTGCACTCACACTGAGGACGCAAGCAAGGCGCGCTGGGCCGAATGAACGCCATTCGGCTCAACTCGGCTCATCTTGGAAGTTCGAGTTCCAAATATTTGTTCGGATTCCAAGACAAAAGTTTCTCGAATCTCCTGGTCGAATACCGATTTGGTCGAAAGTCAAGGCGTTCGAGAACCGAGGTATCACTGTACTCCCTGACCTGAGATCTAACCCACAACCCAGGTATGTGCCCTGACTGGGAGTTAAACCCTCAATTTTTTAGTGTACAGGAGGATGCTCCAACCAACTGAGTCATACTAATGAGGGCTGTACCACAGATTTTTTTTTTTTATGAACTCATCTGCTGATGGGCACTTGAGCTGCTTCCAAATTTTGGTTATTATAAACAATGCCGCAATGAACATAGGATTACATATATTATTTCAAATTAGTGTTTTAGGTTTCTTTGGATACATTCCCAGAAGTGGAATCTCTGGGTCATAAGCCTGTTCCATTTTTAATTTTTTTAAAAATCCTCACCCAAGGATATTTTTCCATTGATTTTTTTAAGATAGAGTGGAAAGGAGGGAGGAAGGGAGAGACAGAGAGAAAAAGAGAGAGAGAGAGAGAAAACATTGATGTGAGAGACACACATTGATTGGTTGCCTCCTGTACAACCCCGACTGGGGCTGAGATCAAACCTGCCCTTGACCAGGAATCAAACCTGAGTCCAAGGGTTCTCAGTCTGGCACTCTAACCACTGAGCAGGCCAGCCAGGGCCCAT